TCTGTGCCATTAAGTGCCTGTGAAAATCCATTTCCTGAGAGGTTGAGACATGAAATATTTCCATAGCCCTCAAATAGCTTTGGAGAAATGAAGAACAGATTATTTGAGCTGAGGATGAGCACTCGTCCAGAGTCAAAGCACTCTTGCTTTATTATCCTGTGCGATATCTCGTAGCTAAAGTCTTTTGGAGTAGCTGTTATGGAAAATGAAATAGAAAGGTCTGAATTCTGGTTGTATCTGTCTGTTAGAGTTGGTGGACTTTCTATTGTTGTGGGATATAACCTGTTTTCTGAGAGATATATCATTTTTACGTGGGAGAAATGGCTGAATAAAGTAGAGTTGCTGTAAATAATGAAGTTAGTACCTAAATTCAAAGCAGATAGATTTTTTAGATTGTACAGAGGTGTGAGTGTGTCTGGTCCAATACTCTGGAATACCAAAGCCTCCAAATGCAAAGTTTTCAGTGACCTGAGGTTTGAAAAGTTTTGTGAAAGAGTTATTTTTTCTGGGTACAATCCGAGAGCATAATTGAACGACAGGTCAAGCTTTTCTAGCCTGTGAAGATAACTAAATGCCTCAAAAGATGGTTCCTCACCAGTTATAGATTTTAGTAAAAAATTAAATGCCAGATATAATACTTTAAGATTCTTTAGACTTTGAAACCAAGAGGGCTTAAGGTAATTTAGTGAGTTTCCTCCCAGGTTCAGTATCTCCAGCTGTGTCAGTCTTTGAAATGCATCAGGATGTATGTGAATAGAACCATTAGGGCAAGGAACACAAGGGTACGGAGCATTGTGACATCTTGGACAGTTGCCTTGTATATCAAGGACCTTTAAATTTAGCAACCCCTGGAAATCATCTTTAGATATGTTCTCTATTTTGTTGGAATCCAGACCTAAAATTGTAATTGACTGGGGTAGTCCTTTAGGAACGTGTGTTAAGTTGTTGTAAGACAAGTTCAGAGCATTCAGTTTGTCCAGTATTTGAAAGGGTTTTTCCATAATAGCCACAGACTTCCCACAGGGATTCCAGAAGTAGCAGTTTTTAGATAGAAACAGGTTTGTTATGTTTTTTAATCCAATAAAACTGTTGTCATGTAATTTATCCAAGCTAATCTTGTTAATTTCTAGCTCAAGTGTTTCCACACTGTGGGGGAGATTGCGTGGAATTTCAGTCAGACAGTTGCCGCTCAGTTGTAGTTGCTTGATTTTTGTGAGATTTTTGAAAGCATTTGCAGGAATGTTCAACAGTCTGCATCCATAACCGTCCTTGGATTTGTTTGCCCAGTTGAGATTGAGCTGAGTCAGATTTGTCAGTTTAGAAAATGATTCATCTTTAATACTCTTAATAAAATTTTCTGACAAGTCGAGATGTGTGGCATTACTGGTTATTCCTTCTGGTACTTCCTCTAGATGGCGGCCTTTACAGTCAAATTTGACTGTATTTGATGTTTTGTTGGATATAACATCACAAGGGAACTGCCGTGTCATCCAGGTAGGTGTAAATGCAGCTGGCATGATCTCATAATGGTAACACAGATAGAACAACAGCATCCAGCATTTGGTAATCTGTGGAAAAATGATGGAATCATTTGAATGAAATAACCTTAATCTTATAAAAGGGCTTCTACAAAATTATAACACTTTTTCATGATTATTGTGGTAAAAAAATAGATAAAAGAACACTATTTGTACTATATATAATGTTATATATTATATTACTATAACACTTTTATCATGTCAATTAGAGGTTCACAAAATACAGTGATATTGGTCTGCAGATTAGGTTTGCTTTTAGAATCGGCTTAAAGCTTATATTTTAGATGTGACTAAAAGTCTCAGATTGATAAATTAAATTTTTTTAAATTTGCAATAAATATGCAACTTCATAACTCATTTTCATGTAATGGATTACGAGACTTCCCAAAAAGCGTATTGTATTAAGTGTATTAATATTACATTGTTAATATATCTACTGACAGTTGTTAAAGGTTGACCCAAATTCATCCCCTCATCCCTACCAGGCTCGTCTGTGGGCCTTCCTGTGATGCAGTGAGCACTTCTCCTCGACTTCACTCTATTCACTCCTTATGTGACATATTAATGGATAAAAATCGATGTAATTTTTTCTGTGCATTACTGGTTTCCAAACTTTTTGTGAAACTTTTTTGTCTACTGACTTAAACTGTATATACCTAAACCGAATAGAGCCCTTATTAATGTTATCACAGTTATTTATTACACCACTGCTTTTCCTGTTTTGACATGTTAAAATATCAGCTAGGGAAAAGACACTGAGATTGTAAAGCAATCTTGAAAAAATTGTAAACCTGTCCTATTTGCAGCAGGTGGCAGTGGGTTGGAAGTCTAGTGAGAAAAAAAAAATCTTGTTCTTTCTTTTACTTATCAAAACAGCAAGTAAGGGGTATGAAATGTAAAACGATACATGTAAAATGTACAATTACCAGCCTAGAAATAATTTTAAAAATAGGAGATATGAAAAATCTTTCAGGTTGTTGTTAAAGTACTTTTCATGGGAGCACGTCACATACTTAGTGATAAGTGACATACAGTATCCCATAAATTTTCTAAATACATTTGTCCCATGTCTTCATTATACCTGTGCAATTTATTGAATTGAAATACCTAAAAAAAAGGGGCATCACTTTAAAATAATGTCACATTATTAAGCATTATTAAGGTATTACTAAGGTTTTACCAAGTGGTTAATTCATCATTTATATAGCATCAGTTCTCCTGTTATGCCATTTATAAATACAGGTATATTATCACTACTTTGATTATGATTACTATTAGCAGCTATGTAGTAGCAATTATAGCTGTACATGATTTCACCATGTCCAGCAGTGATAGCTGTACATGGCGTAACAGTAACAGATGGATAAACATATCTGCATCGGCATACTAAGGAAGAGCAGTGATGTATAAATGATGAATTAAGCACTTGCTAATACTTTACTAACAGCGTAATAATGCTTAATAGTGTGACATTATTATAAAGTGCTACCTAAAAGAAAGTCTTGACTGTTAAATGTATCTTTGACAGTTTAAGATAAAGTGTGGCTTCATAGCTTGTGTTCTCAAGATCGCCAAGTGCTGATTTCTAAAACAAGTTAAATAAAATGGCGATAATGATGCCATGATGTTTTTCTACACATTGGCTGGCAAGTTTTATTATACCTTTTAATTGAATATGTCAACACATTTCCAAACAAGCAAAACAGATTTAAAAGCAAAACACAATAAAATGATCAGTCTGGGTTTTTGGAGTCAGATATATCTATACAAAGTTTTGGCACAAAATCATAAAATGACAAAATCATCAAAGATAACATCAGAATGCAGAAAATCTGATTATTCTGATAAGTAAGTTAAAAGTAACTATACACACACTCAGTAACTTACCATTGCGCCTGTACTGTATTAATCCCTGAATGACAATCTTGAATTCAGATTTTCTCCTCTACCATTTAAAAATAAGTGGTAGTGGTTAAAAGACAAAAAACAAAAAAACAAAACCCAAAACCAAAGAAAAAAAACCCAACAAGTTGCTAAAAATCTATAAGGTGCATGTCTTGTATATCATCAAGTCAAATTAGCCGTGTAAACATCTCTGCATGTTCACATACACCCATCAAAATAAGGAAGGGGACTGTTGTACACAGCAGAATGAGCTGTCGGGGGGAGCAGCGTGTGAATTGAACAAATATGTCTGTTTCATTTCCTTCTTTCATGGTATGTTGCATTTCATTGCCAACTGAGTCTGAGAATCCCCCACTGGCATCGCAAAGAGTGGCAATGAATTTCCCAAATAATTTGAATACAGAGTTTAAAATTAGCACATCATTAATTATTAATATTTCATTAATAATAAAACTGCTCACATTACAACAGTTCAGTATTCACATGTAATAATTCATATACAGGAGTACATTTAAAGCAATCTAGAGAGAAGAAACTGCATTTTCCAGCATATTGTTCTCTTTACAGTGTCTCTTTGAAGAGATTGTTGTATTGTTTGTGACCTTCGGTTGCTAATACACTCCTCAGGCTGAACCAAAAGTATGGCTGGGCTTGAGGATTTGTTGGCCACTCTAGCACAGACCTCTTATACAGCCTCTTTCGTAATCTCAAGTACTTTGAATTGCAGGGCACTTTCTCTAAGAATATAAGCACTATAACATCATTTTTTTCATCCATTAGCCTTTGGTGAGCCATGTAGAACGCCGTCTTGAAGTTTCCCCCTTTGATGTATTTTTTGGTGAGAATAAACACAGTCCTCTTGCTCCTGTGGATGCTTTGAGAGAGGTTGTCAATCAGGGGGCATCCGGGCATCCAATCCCGGTCCTCAAGACAAAGCGTCAGTCGGCGGTCTCCACACTCCTCAAGATGAGCGCACATTTCCTTCGTCACCCACTCTGATACTGCAGGATCCTCCTTATCATAGATCACAAAGGCATCGTAAACAGCGCTCTGGGAATACAGGCGGCGGTAGCCTTTGAGCTTGGCCCTGCAGAAATGGTAGATGTACCAGACATCCCACATGAAGAGATGGCTGGAGATGGACAGCGTGACCAAGATGAGGACGAGGGAAGTCATTAGGGTGGAGAGGATGATTGACAGGTAGTGGTGCTGGCAGGCCAAAAGGTCCACTGAGATGACTGGACGACCTCTTTGTGCCCCTGGGGCAACGCAGGTAACATCCGTGCCCAACCTAGGTATGGTTACTGTAGTCCTGTTGAGCCATGTGACAAACCAGGTGGCATTGCAAGTGCACAAGAATCTGTTTTGGTGCAGAAGTAACATGTCCATATGATTAAGAACATCATCTGGAAGGCTGGATTTTTCAATGTACTGGATGTGATTAGAACTCAGGTCTAGATATTTCAAGTGGTAGGCACCCTTGAGGAAATCTGGTGTAAGCTTTAGGATTTGGTTTTTGTGTAAAATTAGTTTCTCAAGAGATGTGGTGCAGTTTGATAACACATCTGGAACAGTAGTCAAGCTGTTTCCACTGAGATCCAAGACTCGCAATGAGTGTAGAAGTTGCAGTTTCTTCCAGTTAAAGGATTTTAGTTTGTTATTTTTGATATACAGCTCAGATAGCTTCTCTGGTAGACCACTGAATACGTCCGATGGGATAAAAGGGAGGTTGTTATGGGAGATGTCAAGGACAGTTAGATTAACTAAATTCTTAAAATAGTTGACATATCTGGTGTTCCCATCTCGCCACAGTACATCTAACCGGTTATCTCTGAACTCTAACCTTTCTAGGGATTGACTCTCCAGCTCTGTGTTAGTGGAAGTAGAGATCTTGTTGTGATTCATCAGGAGTACCTTGAGGTTTTTTAAATGCCTAGTGAAATTAAGCATGTGAGTCAGACCTTCTGATTCAAAATAGTGGTTGTTGTTACTTATATCCAAGATGACCAGATTTTTCAGCTCTTGGAATGCGGTAGAGTAGAGCAGGTCCAAACGGTTCCATGAGAAGTCCAGATATTGTAAATTAGCCAGGTAAGTAAATTCAGAACCATTCAGACTTTGACTCATTGCATTTCCAGACAGATTGAGGCATCTTAGCTCCGTAAGGTTTAAAAATCGTGAATGCAGGAAGAATATATTGTTTCTGCTGACGTCCAGGGTTTTGCCAAACTGACTGCATTCTTTTTTGACGAAGGATGTAATAACTCCAAGCTCCTTGTCCTTGTATTTGCAGCTTCGTGCATACTCATCATATCTGAAATAATGAATCTCTCTCACGTCTTTGTTTTGGTACTCAGCAGCGGAAGACATCGGAGACCAGTCCAAGGTTTCTCCTCCGGACGAATCAAGTGCAATTTGGCCATCAGAGGGAGACGATATTTTGTTGTCAGACAGGCTGATTATTTTAAAGCTTTTCAATTCCATCAGAATACTAAGCTTTGTCATTTTAATGAAGTTTGTACCCAAATCTACAACCTCCAGGTTCGGTAGAGGTTTTAAATGAGCGATACTCTCTTTAGTTAACTGCTGAAACACATAACCTTTCATTCTGAAAATTTTGAGAGACTTCAGAGAGGAGAAACTGCAACTCAGTCTTAGCGTTTGAGGGTACTTCTGAAGCTCGTAGTTGAATGAAAGGTCCAGTTCTTCTAGTTTACCCAGGAATTTGGGGAAAGCAGTGATTTCTAGCTCCCTTGCTAAAAAGTTTGATGAGAGGTCCAGCACTCTGAGCTCAGTTGTGGTGTCAAACCATTCAGAAGGCACACTTGTAAGGGAGTTGCTATGCAGCCGTAATGTTTTTAGTTTGGTCAGCATTTTAAAAGCTGTCTTGCTGATTTTCAATGGTGCGTTATTTGGACATGGGCTACATGGAAAAGGAGCATTGTAACACCGGGGGCAGTTTCCGCTAATGTCTAGAATCTCAAGATTAGTTAAATTTTTAAAGTCTTCATCAGTGACTTCTTGAATGTTATTGTTGTAGAGATACAGCTCCTTCAGAGTAGTGGGTAGCTGATGTGGAATGAAAGACAAGTTATTTGATTTAAGAGATAGCAATTTTAAATTGTTAAACTGTAAAAATGCATCGTCTTCTATATCATAGGAATCATTGCAGGGGTTACGGAAATAGCAGTTTTGACCAAGGTAAAGCACCTCAACATTTCTAAGCTCAGAGAGGTTTGCTTTAGAAAGATAATAAATATGATTCACTTCCAAGCTCAGAAGGATCAGATTTGAAGGCAGGCCTTTAGGTATACTGTAGAGCTGATTGCCATCTAGATACAGCGCTCGCAGATTGCTCAGTCTGCTGAAAGTATTTTCCTCAATTGTCACACTCTTCAGGCACATCTTGTCCTTGGGTCCGATTTTGATGGGCACACAGTTGCACCTCATGTCAATCTCAGTCAAGTTCTCCAAACCGTAAAAGGAGGTGGAGTTTAAACTCGGAATATGGTTGATGGTGAGCGTCAGGTTTGTTGTGTCTCTCGGGATTCCATGGGGGATTTTTTTGAGGCTTCTCTCAGTGCAGTCCACCTTCACTTCACTCCCATTGTTGATCTCGTTAACATCACATGGCAGAGTTTTCGGGTAATAGATGCCAGTTGCCAAAATAGGGAGACAAGACCACAGGGTGAGCAGTGCCACACACATCTGCACGGAAACATGAGAAAGGTTTGCTAGTAGAAATCTAATAATACTGTAACAGCACATTATAAATGCAAATCATAACAAGGGACGCTAAAATCAGCAACTTTAGTAATCATGGCCAGCATATTATACTTTACTTTACTGTACAATTAGGAAATAGCATTCTCTCGCATTTGATTTTCTACTTCTCAACAGTTAACAGCACCAAACTACATTTGACAGCTTATGAATTCTGATACTATAGAGTATATAAAAATCATACTCACCAGGTGGAGAAACATTATTTATGTGAGAAAACAAAAAAAAAGAGTCCAGCTCTGACTTGTCTTGTCTGGTTCGATGGAGTACTGAAAGACGTATAACACTAACAAACATTCCTGAGGTGGTCGATGAAAGTAACAGGTGTCTGTGTTAGCCTAGTGTGTGTAGAATTAGCCGGCATCACTTCCTACTTTCTTACAAACCACAAACATCCAAATATTTCATCTTTTACTACATCGTGAAAAGGCTTATTGGTGCATTTATGCTATTGCTACTGTAAAGAGGTGCCTTTAATAAGATACAGCAAGTTTAATACTCTGACTCTTGTTGTATGGCAGATATTCCATGGTATTATAAAACACAGCTGGGTGAGTTACAAGTTATTATTCAACTGAAACCAGTGAAAGGAAGAGTTTCATTTCTCATTAAATTTTAGGGGAAAATGAAACCTGTGGTGTGGTTTGGGTTTTACCACTGTACATGGTGGTGAAGTTATTTTAACATCAAGCAGAATATTTTTTTTGTTATCTGTGACTATATGACTAACATTCAGTCTCACCTGCCCAAATTTAAGATAAATAAATATGTTCAGTGGTTTTAGGTACAGTTCCTACCGATTTACAGTAGCTAGACTGTTTAGCTGTCTGTCTTTACAGTGAAATGGTGTGATTTACTACACCTATTCTAGCAATACTAGGTATTCCTGTCGGTCAGCATACCTCTTGTTAAATTTGGGTTTATAGAAAAATGTCTTGAGAACTACCGATGAAGTGCTTTAAACATTTGAAGCAGAGATCAACTTCAATCATTATCTGTATTTTCTTTAAGCACAACTAACATTTTAAAATTTCCATGTATCCTGTGAAATATCCGTATATTTCAAATGGTTTGGCGTAAACACTCTGAGCTGGATAACTGGTTTAGAACATGGTTTGAGCAATGGATGGACAGATGGATTGGTTTAATGTTTTTTCAATTCATTGCTCACTAGGTTGGCAATTTAAGTTTAGATGGTTGTTTGCCATAAAACAAGTATAAACATGCATGTCATCCTAAATCGAAGTGATCAGTGAGCACCATCAGGTCAATTTTGACCAGGAGTTCGCTATGTTGGCATTTAAGCA